CCTGTCACATTCATTTTGTCTGCATTGTGGATGTTTTCGCATCTTAAAACACATGCTGCTGTGAGACCGAATGTATCCAAATGCAAAAGGAATAATGATCGAAGTCTGAATTCCTTAAGTTCTAAAGGACTGGAAACACTGGGATCCTTAACTAGATATCTTCATGGTAAAAGAACATCCCTTTGATCTTTTATTTTCATCATACATTGGATTTAATAAGTTGTCATGAGCCTTGTGCAGAGAAAATGAGCCCTTGGGTCTGTTATAATGAAATGTGCTGCTACTAAACACCAACAGAAAGCAAATGATTTTATGACCCACAGAGTTGGTACCCCTGGGCCTCTAAATTAATTTTAGTTGTCCAGCAAAATTGAAATAAAGCATTCTGCCCCACTGGACGACACCTATTTGTCTAGTGTACCAATAAACAATAATTATTACTATTAAAATTTAGACAAAAGCACCAGTATTTTACAGTCGGGCTGGACGATATGGGCAAAAATTCATATCTCGGTATTTTTGGGCCGATTTGCGATATACGGTATATCTGCATTTTCGTTTTTGTATTTGGATTAAAAATATCTATTTATTATATATATATATATATTTCACTTACCGCCCAGTGTTGTCCAACAAAACAATACATATTAAAGGCTGAAAACAAATAAAGTGACTGTAACCATGTAAGCCTCTATATTATGTGCAAAAAAAGAGTTAAAATCACATTTCATTCTAACATTGTAACATTGCAATCTAAAAGCAAAAATTAGGCTTTTAAAGCGGAAGTTAAATTCACTAAACTAAAAATGAAAACAAATGAGAACAAAAGCACAGAGTTGTGTTAGGCAATTTTGATTACCCCATTACAGTCACTTTACAATCAGTGCTATCATAAAAATAGGCTTACTTGTAGGTTTAAAATTCTACATGTCACATTTATTATTATATAAATATTTCAGCGAAATGTATATTTTAGTCAGAATTATTGCACTCCTATTTAATTCAGCTCTGTCTGTTTTGCGCGCATGCGCGCGGCGGCGCTCGTTCACTGAAGTCTGTGAAGTTTAGCGGAGAATCCCGAAGCAGAAGGCTCATGCACTTCTGACAGAAAAATTGAAATATTTCGATGGCTTTCTAACATTTACAGATGGAGAATATACATGCGAAATGTAAGTTATGCATTAAGGGAAACAG